TGATATTTACTTATGTGGTTTCGTGTATATCTAGATGTAATATTGGGGTTTAAATTTGTTCTCATAAGTACATATTGACTCACATTTTCAATATTAGAAACTCCTTGCTCCATAAGCAACGAGTATAGTAATCTAAGCCACAATTTTGGTCTTTTCTATATACAACAATAACTATGATTTTTCTTTATTACATAATGAATAATACGTATAAAATTATGTATACAGGTTTTAGATAAAATTATTTGACCTATATGCTATTTTATTTACTGATTTACTCTAAAGACTAAGATTAATTTTGGAAATTCTTGTAAAAAGTTGGACCAGTCAGATTGGAAGAAAAAAGTTACAAAATAGTAAAATTATCAAATATTGAAAAAAATATTGTCAATTTTATCAAAGAACAAAATGTATTTTATGTTCAGAAACTATATAACATATTCTTTAATGTTACATTGGTCTACACCAGTGATTCCCAAAGTGGTCTATATCGACCACTAGGGGTCTATGAGAATTTGCAAGGGGTCTACGTCAGCGAAAAAAAAATTTGGGGGTCCATGAAATGAAAATGGGGGTCCACTGTTATTTTGAGTAGTTTTAATTTAAATTCAATTAATAAATGTATAAAACTTAACATGTGTTTTTACTTTAAGTTTTTAACACTAAACTTCACTACAGTTAGAAATATATCTGTTCTGTTTCTGTTAAGATTAAAGTTAGAAATATACAAAAAATCAATATAAGGTAAGTAGGGGTTCTACCCAAAACCGAAAAACATGGCAAGGGGTCTACGACACTAAAAAGTTTGGGAACCTCTGGTCTACACTGTTATTGCAAAGCCCAAAACTGTCCCTTCTGGGTAAACGAGTTTCTTTGATTGAACCGATTGTTTTTAGTTGTACTGCGACTCAATTGCTATGAGTGACAGCACAAGGTGACAGCTGTCATTTTGCCACCCATTGAAAAATTAACTTAATAATGTATATCAGCGTTTCTCAACCTAAGGGTCGCGTTACAAAATTGCGTTACATCCCATAGGTTGAGAAATGCTGGTATACATTACTTTTACATTAAAAAATCCTTTTATGTAAATGAGATGATCCAAATTCTTTGAAGGTTAAATGTTTTAACTTGACGTTTAGACGTCATCATGTGATGTTTTTTTTTCATTTAAGGATGTCGTGGATATAATCAGATCTCGATTGGGTTTCGAAGATTAGAATCGAAATTGAATACGCAACATGACGTTCCAAGGACGTCGAGGGAAATGGATTTGGCGAGAGAGAGAGACTGAGAGCAAGGGGCTGTTATTCCATGCACAAATATTTTTTCCTCTCTCCTTGTTTTCTTTTCGTCGTGCGCGCGGAAGACAACGAAGCAGGTAATTCCCCGATTTCAATCTAAATCACGACGATAAGAGGAGGTGAGCGTGTGTATGGGGGTGTGAGTGGCGATGTTGTGCTTGGCGTAGCGTGTCATGCGGTCTTGTTAGGTGCTCACCCAGCCGACAAACGGTTCACCAAACCAAAGAACTGGTAAATGTGTGTGTACACCAGTCTCCCTGTTTCTATGCGTGTCTGTCCGATCCTGTATGCGTGCGTCAGACGGAGAGAGATAGACAAAAGGTCCGTCCGTTGTTGGTAGGCATCACCACGCGACCTACGCCAAAACAAGCGAACGGAATCATTACAGACGACAGGGGAGGAAGAGTTCGTGATCGAAGTGCGTTTCCATATTTTCTAGCCAACTGCACACACTAGACATCATTAAGTCATCATCTTATAGAATAATTAGTTTTCTTCAATTCAATCACTTTACACATGATTTACATAGAAGGTTGTTAGAAAAATCACAGATTGTAAATTGATACAGCAATGAAACTTTATATATTCATATTTTTTTATACATTTATTTAATCTCATAAAAATTGATCAAGTAATTAGACATACTTTGATTGATTTAACTTTAAACTACAAATTTTCAACGAGATTTATTCTTCAAATAAAATAAACTAATCGACTTTTAGTCTAGTGGTAATTGGAAGAACACTATAATAGAATAAACTTTACTATATTACATAAGTTTTTTTTTAACATTAAAACTGTTAAATTTCACAAGATTACATAATAGAAATGTTTATCATCAACTTAATCTGATCTGATCAACTTAAAAAATGTTAATGTAAAATCTTATGAAAATCTTTAAAATATTACCATAGAAAACTAAGACGTATTGAAATCAACTTTAAGGTCTAAATCGATTGAATGAAAAGATTAATCCGTTGTTAAGAAAATCACAAATCAAAGTCGATAATATCCTGTTGCAAGGATTAATATTATAGTTAATTCCAATGCTACAAGTATAGAAATCTTCAGATTTTGATCTAAATTATTTCAATGTAGAACAACAATTATAATTACGTATCACTTTTAAACAAAAAGTTTAAGATGAACAAAATGAATTACTTTATAGAATATATTTTTCCACAAAAAATGGTGAATTTTTAAAGAAAACTTCGTCAAATACAAAATTCTGATCTATTGATTTTTATTTTGAAATTTTATTGTGATTCTCAACTTACAACAATAAAAGTTCAACTTTCGACTATTCGAACTTTGTCAAATATATTCCAAATTATTTACTTGTTGTTAACAATCAGATTTTGAAGAACATATGTTGATTTTCGTCAGAAGTTGAGGAAATGAATCTAGTTTTAATTGAAGAAATATTTTATGCACATTTTAATGAATTTTAAGTTAGGTTCGGTTAATATTGTAAAGCATAAGATAAGATCGAATTACAAATAAAATTTTAATCTTTTCGATCAAGCAATTTATACCTTAGAGATATTTTATCCAAGCTTATCCAAGAATGACTTACAAGTTACACAATTACAGAGGGGTAGATGGAGCCGAAAAAAAGATTTAACTCCAATATACAAAAAAAAGGAATACATGACTCGGATTCGCTTTGAAAACCGTCCCTCTTTGCTGCGTGCGTTTTCAAAGGCAAAGGGCCGAAAGTGATTCAATCTCTGGACTGTCTAACACTTATTTCCGCACTGTTACCGCTGCAGGAAACCAAACTCCCCGGATTGTGTAACAGTGCAACAGTATTCGTACAGGACTGGAGAGTCGGCAAATTAGATCACCCTAATCATAATTAGGTAACAAATCCTGTTCGCTGATTAAAAACAAATTAATGCCGAGAATCATTATGATGATGATGATGACAAGTGCGGTAGGGGTAAAGAACGTGCGCCGTTGTTTTAATTAAGTTAGATCATAGGCGTGCTGCTGCCTCGTCGTCATCATAATCATCATCATCAACAACTCACGTGGCGGATGGATGGACGCGTTCTGCATACTGCAACCTGCTGCTCATTTTTTTTTTGTTATTTTTCAAATATCGCGCGCATTCTCCGCGTTGTATGTGTGTGAAGTGAATTTGTGTGTATATATATATATAATATCGAAGGGTTATGAAACAATTATCTGGTAATTTGGTGGCATGATGGGTTGATGACGGTGTAAGAGCGTTGATTGCACGTAATGCCTGTAATTAACTCGAGATTCGTGTTATTTCGGGCATTTAACATTACAATTAGAATTCGATCATCGTGCCTCGCGACCGCCAATAAATTACATGTAGTGCGCCGCCGTATAAATTGCCGCCTCTGCGCCCCGTTCTGATTTAATTAACGGTTTTAATTTTCATTTTGATTTCAGTTCGGAAATTCTGCACAGACCTACCTTCCAACCCAGAAAACCGTGAATATCATTACATTTCGGATTACCGAAGACGCTCATCCGCATATCTTTAAGAACTTATGCTCATTTAAATTGTCACAAATAATTCAATGTCATGAATATATTTTGCATTATTACTATTTTTTTTTTATTAAACTTAAACATCAAAAATCATTTTTTTGAACCATCGACTAAATGTTTAAATTATGATAAAAAATTTAAAAGTGAATTGCTTCAACCTTACATTAATGCCACTCAAAATTCATTTTGTAATTAGAAAAGAGAAAAATGTTCAAGAAATATGTATTGTATTCATTAGTTATATAAATATTGTTATTTTATAATAATACAACAAAAAATATTTACTGAAAATACTAATTTCATAAAATTGTAGTATTTTTAACAATGCTTCATTTATTCTAAAGTATTTATTAGATTCTTCATCTGTTGTGGAAAAATTACATGTAACTAATTTTATTGTATAATTTCTTATGAATTTATTTCAAAAAATTTATACAGTTTTATGAAAAAGTTATTTTCTAATGATCCCAACAATATTCAATTGTTTCACGATATAAATCAAATCAAATCGAATAATTTATAATTTTAAAATATAGACTTTTCTAAAATCTACTAAATTACAAAATAATGTTATCAAAATAAATACTTAATAATTAATGTAATTGAACTGGAAATCGTGATGATATGTTTAAATGTATGTAAAAAAATAGAATGCGTTAAATAATGTTTATACTCACTGTCAATGTTTTAAAATCAAATTGTAATATATAACATTTGCACAAAATAATATTTAATAGAAGAGATTTTCGTGGAATTTGTTTCTTAGGTAATTAGCGTAAAGTAATAAAAATTAATGGAGAGATGTGCGAAACTAACAATTTTTCACGGAAAAGATCCAATCCGAAAAAAAATTAATTAAGAGCAAAACCGATGCGGACCGAACTGTGGAATTCCATTAGCGCCAAAGTAGAAGCAATTAAACCGGCAAAATAGAAACAAGAGGGATGGACGGATGGCAGAGAGGGACCGACGGATCGCGTCCATCAATCCCGTGTTGCTGCCATCAGTTCAATTATAAAAAAGCGGAAAGCTCATTATTGTCGTCGCGAAATGAACGGACGGATGAAAGGTTGATGGTGAACGTGTGCGAGAAGGAGGCCACAATAAAAAAAAAACGATACCGCACACGCAGACACCACAGCAAAAAGGTAATAAATAATCTCCTACCTGCCAAGTGTTGGAATCCAGGGTGGCTAGGAACGACATCGCACAGTGGTTGTTGAGGAAACCTGCACAGCAGGACCACAGCCGATCCTGCTGGGACCTTTCAGCGAGAAGTAGTCTGCTCGGATTGAGTTATCTGAAATGCAAACACATTAATCTCACTGCTATTGTTATACGATTAGTTAAACATTCGATAGGTTGAGTTGCGTTTAATTGGGTTTTGAAGATACGGATTTCTTTCCCAGTTTTTCGGGTTCGGTGAGAGAACGAATGAATGAACAAACAAAAAAATGATGAGAAGAACGGTCTTCCTTTAGGGCAGCTCGCGTTTATTAATAGGTTGCCATTAATACAAATTACAACTCAATTATCAGTCATTTAAAGTGCATTAATCATATTTGTCATAAATTTGCATCAATAATAGTTTTCTGTTGGTGTATAAATGCATACATAAATAACCTATTAAATGGCCCATGTTCACGGTGAACCGATTGAAATGTTAAGTGAACGAGAGAGAGAAAGAGAGTGAAAGAGAGACATTGAATGAGTGAGTGAGACAAGAGCGAAGAGCGGACAAAGCTTTTACATATACGCTATTTGCATACTTACCGTTTGCAGGAAAGTATGTGCGATTGATACGAATTGATTTGCGTTTCGTTCATGTGACGGAAGATCGTGGTAAACCTGCAGCAGTTTATTTTTAATGCTTCGTTTCAGAATTATGCATGTATTATGTATAATATTTACATGTATATGTATGTATATATAAAGATATATATGTATTTGTTGTTCGCGACAGCACGGTGTGTGTATTCGAGGGAACGGCTGCAGGGGAACTGGCCTGCAGGAGGGCCCCGGGGGCCACCCAGCAGGACCGACGGACGCTCCGCCTCCAGCGTTGCTCCTGCAGCCAATCGCGGCCCCGGGTAACGCCCAGCCTCGGGCGATATCCAGGACTAACTTATCCTTGCACTGCTGCGTCCTTTCTGGACCGGAGCCAGAACAGGAACCCGGATCTTACTCATTACTTACTTAAACTCCAGGGATTTGCCATTTATTTCATACTCCAGACGCATTATCTAACACACCTACACCAAAACCACCCGAAATTCGGATTACCATTAATCCTCCTGTTTTCGCGCACATTTCCCCTTTATTTTCATACCCATCAGCTGTTTGATAATTGAATTTATTCATTATATATTTTCATTGTATTCCTTTTTTATTTAACCTTTCCATTTTCCTCTTGTTTTCAATATCAAACTTTACCCTTTTTCTCTTTCACAACTATTTTATATCATTTAGAAAACCCAAACTAATTTCATTTATAATATATAAGTTTCCTTTATTTCTTAAATACTTAATTAACTTTACTATACTTTTATTTAATAGTTTCATAATTTTATTTATTAAGCTATTTTTTCACTTTTCATTTATTTTACACACTTTCATCCCTAATTTGTATTTATTTACTTAATACTCAATTCATTCACTCCACTTTTTCTTCTCATTTTTTATTAGTTGAATCAATTACGCAATTTATAAACAATTACAATAAACATGCATTAATTATGGAATTATTTATTATCACAGCGTTCTTTATTATTTTTTTCATTTGTTTTCATTATATACCGACTATTTACTTACTAACTAAAATTGATTTACTTACTTAAATATAGATTTAATGAAAACGAAATTTAAAAAAAAATACCTCTAAATGAATATAAAAAAATCTGTTTGTACATCTTCTTTTAATTATTAATTTTCTTCACTTATTTACTAATTGTTTTTAAATTGTTCATTTTCCTTACTTTAATTAATTAATTGTATCAAAACACTATTATTTTTTCAATAAATCAATCTTATTGATAACTGGAATAAATGGAATTTTCTATACTTTTTTTCTTATTTTTTTTTAATATTTCTTATATTGTTCTACACTTTCAATTAGGAACAGTTAGGACATTTCAAATAATAATTTTATTATATAAACAAGTCAATATATATGATATATCATATATGTACTATTTTTTTTAAATGACATTGTTATTGGTAGAAACGCGGAACAGTTGTGTAATGATAATTATCAGAGGTTGGCAGGTGTTGGGAATTAAATAAATAAATAAATGACAATACGCAATAATTTATTTGTAATTAAACTAAAGTTCAGATCTACAAATTGTGATTACGTTTTGGTCGCGATGGCGGTTCGGGGCTTCGTTCATTATCCCTGCGATCATTAATGCTCCCGAGGTTAATAAGTGCAGATAAACATTGGAACAGAACGCACGTTATCGTTGCTTTCTGTCTTTATGGTCTTACAGTTTTTCCCTTCTTAATTACGTGCATACACACGTAACGAGTCGTATGTGTGTAGGTACACCACAACCCGAAGAGAGAGAGACGGAATAATGGATTCTGTGCGAGAGCAAGTGAGATGGCAAGAGAATAATGGTGATGTTATTATGTTGAAATTACGTATTATAAGCGTCCATTTTCAACGACCGGCCGTGTGCGTACACCAAAAAGAGAAACATTTCTTGAAACCATAATATTCCTGCCCCACGGTCCTCTATTCTCTCTTTTCCTCTCTTCTTTTGCTCCTCTTTGTGTTACTAATTATTTTTTAAGTATTTAAGTACGAGGCGTGGCATCGCTGTAAATGTCAAAATCGTGATATATTATTTAATCCCTCCTCGGATATTATTTATAATATTCAATCATTATTAGCGATAAATCCACTATAACTAATCCCAAATTGGACACACACAGATCGATATCAAAGTTTGTTTCTTTGCCTCAAAAGTATACAACAATTTGTTTCACCTTTCACCTATAACAAATTTATAATTTTATGTTTCCATAGCTACAATAGCTTATTTCAAATAACAGCTTAAATTAAAGCAACAAAAAATAATTCAATTCATAAAGAGTATAAAAAAATAATTTCATTTGGTGGCTATTAATAAAAACTTAAGGTCTTTGAGAGTTTACTATTTTCTAACTGAAATAGATTGGTCTTGGTTGCAAAAGTAATCTAATACTATTTTCTGAAAAAACAAACAGCATAATTTCTATCGTCAAGAGTGCCAATTTTGTCGTGAAATGTCAACATTTTGTGGAGATAAAAAAGAGTATTTTCATAGATTTGCTTATATTTTTACATGCTGTAAAAAAGAGTATGTTTGCAGAAGATTTGAAATGATGTGAAATATTTGTATTGTATTATTTATTATATTTTACTATATTATATATATTATATTTTCTGTTATTAAGATTATCAAGAATTGACAAAATTTTGTCGAATTTACTTTTGTAGAAGATTTTTCTTACATTTTTATATATCTCATAGTTAAGAAATTATATTGCAATCTGAAGAAGTTTGTAACAATTAATTATAATAATAGAAATCCAAGTAGCAATTACAATTAGACCTTCTATTAAATTAAAAATTGTTATTTATGTTAAAGGTTCAGAATCGTGTACTTTGTAAATCTATAATTGGTTTGCGTGAGATTGCATTCTTCACTGCTACTTTTCATTAAATTTCGTTATTTCATCATTAACTATTGCCATTCAAAGAAATTCCATAGAAATATAGAGTAATTCTACAATTTAGAATTGATGAATCCTTTTTCCATTGAATATTTGTAACTAATATATAAAAAATACATTAATTTATAATTTTTATAAAATTAATTTCACTGACAAACATATTATTAAATTAATATGCAAATGGTGTTAATTGAACGAATTCTAATTGATTTTTTCTTAGACTTTCAATTAAGAACAATTAGTAAATGTTAATATATAACAGATGTTAATATTTGGAAATTGTAAATTTGTTATTAAATTTACATTTTACATTGGCGATTATCCTTTACTTATTGGTTATTTGTTGATCCAGTGGCTTGTGTCGCTTCAGTCACTGTGTTGTTAGGCTACTGTTTCCATTTGAAGGTCCTCATGAATTCTCCTGTTGGTAATATACCATGGAGCACCTTCTTAGGCTATACGACTGGAATATTTGTATGGTCGCAATATTAGATCCGCTGTTGACTCCCCATAGCTGTATTCCGTATGTCCTGACAGGTTTTAAAATTACTTTATAGATCAGCTTGTTTTCCTTCGAAATTGGCGAGTCTTCCCGTAATAGCCAGTAGAGTTTCCTGAACTTAATTTCGAGTTGTTCTCTTTTTGCTTGGTTGTGATCCTTCCAGGTCAATCTTCTATATAGATGCATACCCAATTATTTTTCCGTAAAGAATCACTGGTAAGCAGGAGTCATCAATTAATTGACCTTCATTCTACATTTAGGTTTACTTGCAGGTGATGTGATGCAACTGCTGGGTCTGCATCAGATGATAATATTGCAGTATCATCGGCAAACGTTTCAGCCCTTGATTTGTCTGTTAAGGGCATATAGTATACTATATATAGGATAGGTCCTAGCACGCTACATTTCGATACACCTGACGTGATTGAATACAAATTCGTCAGTGTATCAAACATTTTCACTTGAAATAATCTTCCAGTCAAATACAAACGTATTATTTTATTAAATTTATATGGTAGAATCTTTTTTAATTTATAGTGCAGTCCCGTGTACCACACTTTGTCAAATGCCTGCGATACATCTAAGAATGCGCCTGAGCAATAGCACTTCTCTTCCAAGTCCTGGCTTATTATATCTATTAACTTGGTACCGTGTTGACAACGAAATCAAAATTGGTGATTCGGTATTAGCTCATTGTTTTTCATGACTATTTTGAGCCTATTCATTAGTAATTTTTCAAACACTTTTGATATTATTGGAAGTTGACTTATAGGTCTATATGATTTTATGACTTCGGGAACCTTTCCTGCTTTGAGTATTAGGATGATTTGAGCTAATTTCCATTGAGAGAGAAAGTATTCCAGTTCCATTGAAGATAATTGTCAGGAAAATTATCGTATCCAGGAATCCTTTTTGGTATAATTTCGTTATTAATAAGTGTAACAACTTCCTTGGTGTTATTGGTCTAATACGAAGAAACATCTGGAATGGCAAGGAGAGAAACATTTCTATTTCTGAATCGCCGTTCATTTGAATTCTTTCTGATAGATATGTTTGAAAGATTATCTCAAGATGTTCGGCAAATGTTTGGGCCTTATCTTCATTACTTCTAGCACATGTACCAACAAATAGAAATATAGAGTAATTCTACATTTTACAATTGATGTATCCTTTTTTGCATTGAACATTTCTCACTAATATATAAAAATCCATTAATTTATAATTTTACTGAAAAGTGATGTTAATTGAACGTAAAAACGTATACCAATTGAATGGTAAAACCTATATAAAATTTATTAATTACAATACAAAAATCTTCTGTTAATTGCAAATTTTGTTGAACGTTACAATGTTACAATGCATCAGCGCCGGGTGCAAAATTAATTATCACCAAATATAAATATATATATAGAAAATACAGAGATTTACATTCGCGAAAATACGCTCCGATGGAAATTAATTACAATTCAATTTGGATAGAAATTATTGAAAATCGCTAATTACATTAATGTTATTTTAGCTGCAACGAACCGAAAATTTACATTCGCAATTCACCTCCACCCACCCAAAATAAATATTTCCAATTGTTTCCTTTCATGCAAAACGGTAAAATGCAAAACCGGACCGGTCCGTTAATTAATTCGTTTTTGAGCCACGCTATGTAATCCGTTTTTTAAATGTATCAATATTATTAGTATTAGTATTACGTTTGACCACGTAATAGTAACAATGACTGTAATATTAATGATGATTGCAGTAATAATTATTTG